GATGAAGAGACAACCATGCAAGTGGTTCTGGTACATCTGTCCAGAGTGCAGGAAAATGCCCGCACTCCGCACAGAAAGCCTGAAGGAGATGCTCTCCGCCACGCAAAAGCTACCAGCACCCTCGAATAAAGTAGGGTTAACACCAAAGATAACACAGAGAGACCTGGAAACAGACCTAGAGCTCCAGCTGTGGGCACGCCACCTCGCGTGGGGACCATATTAGGTCAAGTCTCCATACCTCCTACCCGGCCCCAGGGGACGTCAAGCGCATGGCCAAAGACATCGACCGCTAAAGCCTCTACGAAACCCATTCCAAACACCCCACACACCGTGACTGAGAAACAACCAGTGGAATTACTCAAACCCATTGGGAAGTCGGGCGTGCCACCCACAACGAACCCAGGTCACAGGAGGACCAACTCGATCATTTTGTTCAACGTCGATGTATCGACAGACTCATTGTTGGTCGAGAGGGAACGGTTTGACAGCCGAATGTGGACCGACTACTGTCAGATGCTGGGACTCCCTCCCCTCCCTGCAACTTTATGTCGCCTTTCTCGAGGAAGCCGTGCACCCCGAGATAAGCCACCCCCTTTACGTGTGTCCCTAAATACTACCAAAGAGGCTGAAGACACACTCCTCCTCTCGCGACAACCGGACGTTGTTAATGCCTGTAAAATTCGGGCCAGGCCTGACAAGCCATGGTCAATAAGAGAGGAGGAGAGAAAGTCAGCGGTTGGAAATCCCAACAGAAACAACACTATAGTTGTACATGGGATTCCAGAATTGCCAAGTGACCGCTCGGTCAAAGATCGGTACTTTCACGACGTCCAACAATGGCAATGGCTCTCAACCAAAGTTGGTCTCAACAGTATACCGGCCAACAGCGTCAGTAGACTGCCAAGGCCAGCGCACCTGAAGACCATACCCAATCCCAGACTACTCGCCGTCCAGTTCGACTCATATGCCTCCCTCACAGACGTTCTACAGGCATGGTATAATGCGAAGGATCGCATGGGTGGCTCAATACGTATATGTGAAAGTAAGCCTAGACCCACAAGGCAAGAGGAGAGACGACAACCACCAAGACCTCTGGAGTCAGTGGTCGTCACACAGGCGCTGACCAGTGAGTTAGATACATCAAGTAAAGAAGCCACCACTGCCACAGCCCCCACCCAAGTTAATAACAAAACACCAAAAAACGGAACAATGCCAGTCCTATGAGGACTGGCGAGGGTAGACCCAACCACATAAGCTCTCATCCTGCGAAAATACACAACCAGACCTCCCCTCTCACCAGGCACACTCTAATATGTATGTACAGCAACGTTAGGGGGCTAAGAGGGAAGGTAGCAGAAATGAGGACGCTGCGTGCACATCAGCACTCCGACATCATATTCATCACCGAATCCTGGCTCTCGCCAGACATCTCCGACGAAGAGATGCATGTTACTGGCATGGAACTCTTCCGCAGGGACAGGGAACATAGAGCAGGAGGGGAGTGGCTATCTACGTAAACTCTTGTTTAAAGGCAAGGATGGTTAGCGATACGGCCTTAACCCAGCTCCCAGAGTCCCTATGGTGCTACTTCACTCTCCACAGTACCAAATACCTGCTCGGAGTCATATATCGGTCCCCCACCAGCTCCCCTACACATAAGGAAATGATCATCAAGGCTATCTTAACGACTTCCTCTGCAAATTACGATTCCGTAGTCATTGCCGGCGACTTCAACACCCCGTCCATCCTCTTCGAGACGGAAGGGAGACGCATCAGATCCTTCAATCAGAAGCTGAAGGATGCAATTAAGACTGCTGGCCTCTCAGAGAAAGTGGGTGATGCTACACGCTGGGGACCTAACGGAAACGCATCGCGCCTTGACTACGTTCTGACGAACGATGAACTTCTCATTGAGGATGTTTGCATCCAACCTCCCCTTGGCCTCAGTGACCACGCTGTAATCACCTTCTCCATGATAACTAGGGAGGCTCTGCAACTGGAGACGCCCAACACCTTCCCTTGCTACAGCAAGGCCAACTATGAGACCATGAGGGACTACCTCATGAATGCATCATGGCCAGTGGACTGGACTCATCTCACAATAGATGAACACTGGTTGGAGGTGAAGAAAATAATCACTGGGGCCATCAGTCACAGTGTACCAGAAGTAACACACAGACAATCAATGAGAACCTCATGGTTAAAGCGTGGGACAGAGAGGCTTATCCGGAGCAAGAAGCAGGCTTGGTTCAAGTGGCGTACATCACGCAGGGAGTCTGACTTCTTGAACTACAAAAGGATTCGCAATCTCTGTAACATTAGAGTGCGTAACGACAGATTTTCCTACCAAACAAACTTGGCAGCGAGGTTACAAAGCAACCCCAAAAACCTGTACCGCTTCATGTCAAGAAGAAAGTCGACCAGTAAGGGAGTGAATCTTGTCACAGGCCATGACGGGAGTGTGCTAAGCAGTCTAGAGATTGCCGAGCTTTTGAGCTCACACTTCCAAGCCCAACTCAGCACTGACACAAGATCCACACCGACTCGCCACGACACCGACCAGGTCGCAAATAACGAATACCTCTGTCACGTCTCTATTACAGAGAAAAAGGTGTTCGAGAAGCTATCTAGGCTACGTCCGGGCAAGTCCCCTGGCTGCGATAACCTGAAACCAGTGGTTCTGAAAAACTGCGCCGAGGTGCTTACCAAACCACTTCGCAACCTCTTTGAGCACTCAATAGACTCGTGCAAACTCCCTAAAGAATGGAAGAGCGCCATCTTGTCACCCATCTTCAAGGGAGGAGACAGAAAAAGCCCTGGCAGCTACAGGCCGATTGCCCTACTCCCTATTGTGTCGAAAGTGTTGGAAAGCCTGGTAGCTGACACCATCTGGGAATTCCTCAATAGGAAAACACTGTCCACACTGCTCAGCACGGCTTTCGTAGTGGTCGCTCATGTGCCACCAACTTACTAACCGCCTGGGACGACTGGACACAAAGCTGGGATAATAGAAAACCTGTACATGTTGTATTTCTCGACCTAGCCAAAGCATTTGACAGTGTCCCACCCACAGTACTGCTTCACAAGATCATGTCAGCTGGTATAAGTGGACCCCTACTCTCTTGGTTCAAGGAGTACCTGGAAGGGAGGCAGTTCTGCACTAAAGTGAACAGAATAAGGTCGGAGTGGAGACCGTCGACGTCAGGAGTATCCCAAGGAGCAATCCTAGGACCGCTTCTGTTCCTCCTGTTTGTCAACGATCTGCCAGACAAAATATCCTCACCCATCCTCCTCTTCGCTGACGACATAAAAATTTGGAGGGTGGTAAACGAAGAAGCCGACTGTGCAGCACTACAAAAGGACTTGCAGCAACTCGAGCTCTGGTCGTCGGAAAATGGCCTGAGCTTCAACTGGAAAAGTGCAAAGTAATGCACATCAGTAAAAATGAGGCAAGTACGACCGACTTCCAGTACATGTTGAGCAACCGTGCTATCACCAGAGTGTCCATGGAGAAAGATTTGGGGCTCAACTTCTCCGACACCTTGGACACCAGCTCCAACTACAAAGGTATGACAACCAGAGCGAACGCCATTCTACACTTTCTGCGTAGACAGCTTGGCGCCCTCACTCCCGAACTCTTCCTCACCATTTTCAAATCCTACGTGCGGCCGCACCTAGAGGTCTTCAATACGGTGGCTCCTCCAACACTCAAGAGAGACTCTAATCTCCTTGAAAGAATACAAAGAACTGCAACAAAATCAGTTGTGGGGCTAAGGGGAAAGACGTATCCTGAAAGACTTAAACACCTCAACCTATTTACCTTGGGTTATCGCAGGAAAAGGGGTGACCTCATTATGGCATACAAGATCGCCCATCAGGCAGACCATGCAAACAAATCAATTTTGCCTGCAACTGAACGATCTTCACGAGGAAACCCCATTAAGATAGCACACCAGAGAGCCAACACCACACTCAGGTCCAAATTTTTCTCCCTAAGAGTATGTGCTTTATGGAATGCCTTACCGCGACACATCGTTATAGCTCCTTCAATCGACTCTTTCAAGAGGCGATTAGACAGTTATGTCACCTCGCATGGACTACCACGGACGTACTCAGGTAGTCACCAACCTCAGTACCCCCAACTCCCTCCTAACTACCACTCACTATCTCTCTCCTTAATACACCCACATTACCTACTAATTCTTCTGTAGGAACCAAACCCACGCGACCATTCGGGCAATTCCCAAATACTTTTCTTTCGTTCTCATTTCTCTTTTAACCCCTCCTTTTCTTCTCCTTCCCTTTTCTCTTCCCTATTTATTATTATTTTCTTTTTTTTTTTTTTCTTCTTCCTTATTTCTCTCTTCATTCCTTTACCACTACCTTACTATTCTCTTTCAGGTACCTACACAGACAGGAGTCACGGCAGTTCTCTAAACTTCCCAGCAACCCGTAGCTCCCTAATCACTCTACAAATTACAACCTACTAACCCACAAAACATCCACCTCACCGAAGCTAAAAGCAAGAAAGCAGAGGGATTTCCTCGTCCACTGCAGGAGTAAACCGAACAACTGGAACCAAGCCCTAAGAACTAGACGCGAGAGATCAAAAACTACCAGTTTTCTACGCTCGCACTGTCAATATTGGATAATGGATCTGTCAGTCACTCATAGATAAGTTGTTCCATTACAATGAAAGATAGGGATAAAAGCTTGACCGGTCTGTATTTCTTCGGATTGCCTCCTTAGCTTACATAAACTTACAATTTGTTATCCCACATGTGACAAAATAACAGAACTCTGGATACATCAGCAACACGGCAGATGAAGGCCATCTGTATTCACAGTGCGACGCCACCATATAAGTTAGTATGTATTAGAAAGTTGTACTTTTTGTGAAAAACATTACATTTCTTAGGCACATCTTATTCACGTTGTGCTTAAACTTGTTAATTTCATATGAAATTTTAATGTTACTTTAGTCAATAGGGCGAATCATACCTAGGTGAGCCCATATAACAATATGTTGGATGTCCCTGATGTTCGTTTTTCCTAACCAGTACAGTAAACGCAGTGGCCGCTTAACTTTCCCGCACCATTTGTACCCGCTACGACCGTTATGCTACGCGTACTGTTTGTGTTTTTCTTATTATCCACAAAATCAGTCTACTCAGAATACGAAATAAAAGACAACTCTCTTGTATCCCCATTCACTAGCTGTAAGTATATGTTTTTACTGTCACCGTAAATTCCTAACCTGCATATTTGAGACTTCGATCAATGTATTTGGGATGTCAGATCCCATGGCATCATAAAAGGTTACACAAAGGCAGCAGAAATACATTGTATTAATTAAGGCAGACATCAATGGAGGTGTAGCTCATAAGACAGTATTCAAGGTGGTTACATCTTAGAAGTGAACTGGCTCATTGGCTGGTAACGATTTAGAACTTATTAACGTAGACCATTCCATGCCAACTGAATTTGCAATAGAGGTAGCACGTATCACATCTAACGACCCAATTGAAATGTCTTATTCTTTATCAGTTACTTCATGATTGTCTCTTAGGCATCTTTAGCATGATCATCTTCTGAACTTTTTGATTATACCGCCGGACCATGTCTACTGTAAAATGGTTGCGCTTGTATTCATTTCTTAAGTTTATCGCCATCGTCATTTCGCACAAGTCTGTGTTAGCCAAGCGTTAAACAGACGGGTGTTAGTTAATCAACAAACAATTTCGAACGATGTAAACACATCTTACTGACACTTTCGATTAACTGCAGACGTCAGAAACTACTCACTGGTAAGCACTCATGGTTGTAGAGTACTTTCCTTTTTTCTTTTCAGTCAGCAGTAGAACAGTTTGACCTGTAGAAACTAAGGTCATTCATTCATGCCTTCATTTTACTGTTTTCTTTATCATCAACCTGATTTTCCTTTAAGAATCCATAACTGGTTTACTGTTTGATAAGATAAATGAGAGATCAGCCCTACTTGATTGACGCTAGTGTTAATATTAATCTTCGAGAAACATTGGCTGACAGCAACCTATTTTTATCAATTGAGGTTTAAACCTCATGCACAGGTGGCATCTCCCACCTGAGGATGTGCGACTGCTGTGTTCAATCATCAGTGTCTCCATAGGATTGCTAATGCCCGGTGGGAGCACGATGTAAGTAATTCTGAGGTACGACAGCGTATGTTTAGGCATGATAGGGGTTTTCATTCAAAAGTGGTCATCTAGAAACGCCAGTCCCGGTGGCTTAAACGTGTGCTACACCTAACGGCTTCCATACCGTTCATTGTTTGCTAGCCCTGAGACTGGCTAGAAGAAGCGGAGGGGTGATCAGTGTATGACGCGGCATCGTGGGATGAAGGGTGAGTCGGGTTATCATCTGTTGATGCATCACGACTCCCTGGGTGTGGCCCGAGAGATCGCGCAACTTCCTGGCTCGAGATGTTATCGCATATGACTCAAAATCGAAATCATTGGAGGTCATGGTGTAGCTTCCTTCTATTCCCCTCTGCTGTAAAGTAATGAACGTTTTGTTTTGAACGTATCTTACTGGACTAGCCTTCTAGTAATTCTATTCTTATTGCGTTTTTCTTTCTTACTTATTGGCTCTTTGTCTTCATAATGCTATATTATCATGTGTGGCTCTTTTCTTTGTGCCCTTGTTGTACCATGTTTGTGTTCTAATAATAGTGGAGCTCTGGCTCAGTGGTTTAGGCAGCTGATTATAAAGGACTGGGTCACGGGGTTTGAGCGCCGCTCCACATATGGAGTTTTGGGCAGCCAGGTAGTATTACTAACCCTCACAATGGTGTGGCTCATTGCCTACTCCACAGATGTGCGCAAGGCGATCGAGTGCGTTTTTTTTTTAATTATTTCTAATAATAATATATCACACCAACAGGTATTATCCTATATGGAAGCTCTTGGTTGAATAAGCAATAAGGGTGAAAACCAGTAGTGTATGTATCACAGAATGACTTCATCTTCTGACTGACAGCTTACAGTATATTAACGCATAATAAAACCTCATTGTTACATACATTACAACAGTAGCATGAGATCTGTGCTGTTATGGCAGCGCTTAGCACTGCTAGACTTAGAAGATTGATTTCAGGAATATATTTTGGATACCAAGGCCAGTTAGGGACAAAATGCCTGGATCGTCGACGATGTGACTCAACTTAATTCCTGTTTGTGTACTAGGCTATGAGTCAATCCTGTTGTGTAAGGGATTATGAAAACCTGGTTGCTCAGGCCGAAATAAGCGGATTAGGATTTAAACCCTGGACCCATGGCTTAAAAGTCGAATAGTAGCCTCATTTACTGAATTTGTTGTAGGCATGCAGTACTACAGTTTACGACAAGTGTTTCTCATCAGATCGTCAGTGGACATTATCGAGGATGGATTCTTAAAGGTGCCGATTCACGGGTCCAGTGTTTTCTTGATCATCGTAAAAAAACAATAAAAACGTGTTAAGTAGGTAGTAAATTCTTTAAATGTGTGGCTAATTCTGTCTTTAGGTTCCCACTGTCTAAAATTTCGTGGAATGTATTCGAGTAAAGAAGACCGAATAAGTTCTCGATTAATATTGTTTAACCGCAGAATCATCCACTAGACTACGAAACGTTTGTTTTTAGAACTAACAGGTATTTCAAACAGTAGATGGGGCTGATTCCTGAGTATGCTACTGTGGAAATGTTTGTTTTACCACTAAATCCTATGTTCAAAAGTTTAAAACAAGACAGTTTGCATTGGATATATAGTGTAACCCGATCCAATACAGCTAGTATGTGCTAGGCTGTGATCCACACTAATTCTGTAACAGCTTATGTTGCTACCTGCCTGTCCAGGTCGAAGTAAGTGTATTGGTTACATCTCTATCCGCGCATCCGTAATGTAGTTATTTTCGGCTCTGTAGCTCATTTCTTAAGCAACCGTTGGTTCTCATGTGGTAGGGATTATTCATAACTTGGTGCGTAAACGTTTATTAGGCTTCTTGGACATACTTAAGTTAAATGTTAGGTAATAAACTTCAAAACGTTTTGAGAAACACCTGTTTTCCCGCATCGGATATTGACCATACTACTAGACTTGGGGACAACGTGTATGTTTCATATTGCGATTACTTTGCGTATATGTTTTGTCAGATAACTGTATATATGTAATTAACTGCTTGAACTTTTTACCTCACAGCTACATCGAAATGTCATGTAGTTCATTCAGTTTTTTAATTTCCATCATAGTTTAACTTCTTTCATTTGTTGTAGTATATTGGGTACCATATGGCTCTACTATCTTGGAACCGCAGTTTGTGCGCCTAACTTCTGACGTGAAAAGTAGTCAAGGTGGTATATACAATACAAAACCTTTGATTGCCCGAGATTGGGAGGTGGTTATCCTGTTCCATGTTCATAGCTCTAAAGCTCTGGTTGGTGACGGATTTGCATTTTGGTATACTCAAGCTCCGCCTTCACATGGTATGTTGTAATATAATTCGTTTACTGCTACGTAAATCCATATATATTTTTAGGACCAGCCTTTGGTAACCGAGAAAAGTTCCGAGGGTTGGCCATTTTCTTTGACACATATGCTAACCAGAACGGTGAACACAGCCATGATCATCCCTATATCAGTGCAATGATTAATGATGGGACTAAACAATATGATCATGATAAGGATGGGACTTTGACAGAACTGGCTGGTTGTTCATCCAATTTTCGAAATAATGATTACTCGATGGCAACCATTCGTTATGCTAATAATCAATTAAAGGTCAGTTTACTTATCATGTATTTTAAACTATTGCCTTTTGTGTGTAGTGTTCGAGCAAGAAAAGTAATTGGTTTATGCTTTTGTCGCGTGACTTGCCAACTAATATTTTCGTTTATCTGAAGTGTTTTGTTTTAGTTGGTTGTGGTTTGTAAAACTAACTTATACACTAAGCCAAAGGCGAAGGGTACTAAGCAAGAACGGTAGGTCGATTGGTAAGGCTGTGAACCTTAGTCGATTAAGATGGGTTGGACATGTACTGCTCATGTCGAGCCACCGCCTTCCTCGACGTCCCATGCTAGGGGAAGTTGAATTAGGTTAGAAGAGAGTTCAGGGTGACCGAAGCAAGATTTTGTTCCAGTCGATGAAGTATTTGACTGTTAGTCTAAACAGTGTGGGGAGATGTAGACTGTGGTTGGGGTCTCCGGGACGTTAGGAATCAATAGTTAAGGACTGTTGGTGAGGGGCCTAGAAATCGATCGCGGTGGCTCAGATGTAAAGCTTGAATATTTACACTAACTGTTATCTTCAGATTGTGTTTACTTTGATATCACTTTTTTATCCACTTGTTCTTTGTATACTACTGTGAAGTGTGGCAACGTGAGCCAATGCATAAAGTGGACTGAACAATGAGATCTTTATACGATTAATGTCGGGAGATTTGCAGTGGTTGATGAAGTCGTTCACGTACATTTTATTTGATATTCAAGCAATAATGGGTAAGTAGTATACTGGCTGCGAGGCTGTAACCATAAAAATTTGCGTAGGTAATTCATGAACAAAAGTTGGACGAAACAATATTTGATGTATTGATGTGTAATAAAAGTGTGTTTATATTCTTATTATTGTATAGACTTGCAACCGAAAACAACCATATTAATGCAGACCAAAACTAAGCACTCTGTCGCCAGCATATTTCAGCTTGGTTTTAGTAGTTCGCTGTTCAGAATCATAGTTTGGTAGCTTAATTATCATCGGTATCCCAGTATACAAATTTGAAATGGTATAGAATTTCATACTGTTATTTCTAAGACCCGAATAGTCCAATGGTAACGTCGCTGACTGCAGCGGGTTTGAATTTCACAGGGGACATCTACTTCTCCGAGCCTGTAGATACGCCTTGCTGGCAAGCCGCGATAAGCACGAAACCTAGGTTCACGGTTCCCTGCTGACTGCCTCCAACCAACTAATATCCATTAAAATGTGGAATTTTATGCAGTGCTTAATAGTTTGCTTTTGTCAGCCATATAAGTTCCGAACTAGAAACCGAAAATACAAGCGGAGATAAGAAGCAACTTAATAGTGAGACGTTTCTAGATTCTATATTTTAAAATTGGACTGTAAGACATTGTAATGATAATAATGATAACAATTACTATTGAAGTTATTTTTTTAATTACATTGCATTTTTACCCAACCATCCCTCTTACTCTTAACTCAATTACTGTTATCAATTATTGTGCTAAAATGATTTCTACCATACCTGAAAACTTCGAACTCAGAATATTTGTCCCTTAGACTTATTTCGTTTGATTAATTTTGTTTACTTTCCAAGTACATCTCTATCAATCGCTTTATTTTTCAAGAAATCTTTATTTTGTAATAAGTTATTATGTTTGCAACTTTCACATTCTTAGGTTTCTCTAAAATACCAAGGAGCAACAAATCCTGTGGACTGTTTTACAATTGATGGTGTGCATTTACCGACTGGTTACTACATAGGAGTTACTGCTGCTACTGGTGATCTTTCAGGTAGTGTAGCACTACTTCATTCAATATATTATTTGCAAGGGTTAAAGTAATTCTACCATTAATAATTTTATTGCTTGTTTAACAACAGTTGGAAACGCTTTTGACTACTGGAAAATGATCAGTTTTCAGCTTGTCTTACTCAACAAATGCGTTGATTATTAACGTGAACGCATATTTAAGTAGCTTTCTGTCAACATGCTGATAATAAACTTTGATCATCTAGTTTCTAAAGTCACGGAAAACAAATGGCTGACATGTATGACATTTTTATTTGTCACTAAATGCACGTATATTACGACTAGGGATGGCAATTTTTATAATCTTGTTATTGGATCGCATCTCACGAAAAACAGTTGTGTCAAATTTAATTGATACCGATAGTTGTAGTAATACGTTGCATTTGAAATTTCACGCACCCTGGAGAGCTTATCACGCAACTATATGCTCAGTAATCGAAGCTTCTTATTACATGTGAATTGTTTCTTTAGTGGAGAAATGTACATTGGAAACTTAGACAAACAAAACTGGTTGAAAACGACGCTTTCAGTAGAATAACACAGATCGATCTTATTTAGAAGTTTCTCATAAGCTGATTACAGCCCAAAACATCAGTTGTAACATCAATCTATACCAAATACTTGCATACTCGAATCAATTTTAACGGAAAACTATCAACATGAAGTGAAGATAACAGTGATATAATGTAACTGAAGAGAGACACAAAATTGATGAATAAATATAAATTAACGAATAGGAGGATTAGGCGAAGGTATTCTACATATTGAGAAAGGTTACAGAAAAGGTGTGTAAAAAGGTCAGAGGATTCACGTTTGCTGAGAAAATGCGATGCATGAAATTCAGACAATACGGTAAAGTGAATGTAGTGGAGTAACAATAAAAGTGTACGAATCGATAATGATATGCGAAGACATCATGATCACCACCAACAACACAATTTTTTACCATGGTAGACACAGACTAATAACTGTTTCTTTCTGAACACAAGTTCGATTTCAATCGTTAAATGGGTACCCTTTCAGCAAAACGCAACAAATTCGAATTCACAATATTTATTGTAAACGATTTTTAGGTATCAACTTCATCTCCACCATCAAGCAGTGTCGCCGTTGTGAACTTTCTCCACCTCTTAGTTTCAAATCCCTTGGAATATGCTCAAACATACGGTACAAGCCCTTCCTTTTGTTCTTCCAATTTATGTGCTTTGGCATTTACATATGAGTCAGTATAGGCACTTGGAGTTAGCATGAAAAGGAGACTTACCAACCGAATTTGTGTTCAGAAAGAAACAGTTATTAGTCTGTGTCTACCATGGTAAAAAAATTGTGTTGTTGGTGGTGATCATGATGTCTTCGCATATCATTATCGATTCGTACACTTTTATTGTTACTCCACTACATTCACTTTACCGTATTGTCTGAATTTCATGCATCGCATTTTCTCAGCAAACGTGAATCCTCTGACCTTTTTACACACCTTTTCTGTAACCTTTCTCAATATGTAGAATGCCTTCGCCTAATCCTCCTATTCGTTAATTTATATTTATTCATCAATTTTGTGTCTCTCTTCAGTTACATTATATCACTGTTATCTTCACTTCATGTTGATAGTTTTCCGTTAAAATTGATTCGAGTATGCAAGTATTTGGTATAGATTGATGTTACAACTGATGTTTTGGGCTGTAATCAGCTTATGAGAAACTTCTAAATAAGATCGATCTGTGTTATTCTGCTGAAAGCGTCTTTCTCGCATTACTTTTATTCATTTAGGAAAAAAATTGTATGGAAACAGTGAGTTTTGAATTGATCTAGTGAAACATGGAAGCAAATAAACGAATTCAGAAATCAAGGATATGAGAAAACTAAGTACGAGATTTCACATCTGTTTTCAGTCTTACACCTAACTGTAAACATATAGTGGTTTCTTTATAGTCTGATGCTATAGGTAGGTATCTATAGAGGCTGAAGGTCTCTGATGGGACCAGTTGTTCCACCTCCGTAGGGTGTTCGTCGGTGCGATTGACTATGTGATATTCATCTTTACTTCTGAAGTTATTGTTTTATATGTGTTCAGTGCAGTCAGTGTGTGTTACTGCACATTGTATCTTTGCTAATCAGCTATGCCATACAATTCGTAAGCACAGACTGTCGTTCATTGGGTCACGGATGTGAGTCCCATTCTCCTTCTTCCACGAGGTTCTCCCGGTTAGTATCAATAACCCTCACAAAGTATTTATAGCCTGTCAGCTATTCCCTGGACATGTACATGATTACAGGGTTACTCAGTTAGAGACCAACATGTTAACTTGTAAATCTAAGGGATCTTTAGAAAACTACTGAGACTCTTTTTTTATAATAAGCGGTTCTGAATATCTGCGATTTGGTTTTAAACTAAGTGAAGAAACTTATTTAGAACTTTTACTTTGATTTGTGTAGGATGTTAGTTGGAAACGAATGTTAGAGTTTGATAGCCTTTTGTGTTGTAACATGAGTTCACTCTGCTATCCGTTTAATTTAGTCCCTACCTATTATTCCTTTGTTGCTTTTCTACTTAGATAATCATGATATATACTCCATCCACACGTATGAACTAGATTTGACTCGGAAAGTAAGCTTATTGTTGTCTGTGTTGTGTGGGTAATTTTTTCGTTGTTGCCATTTTATCTATGTGGAGTCAAAAATTGAAACTTGTGCAGTTTAGTATGTAGTCTGTCTTGGTGCATAGTAGAAAAAATAAGGCTACATTCCTCGCCTTTTTGCAGTTAGTGAATATTTGTTTCTCAGTGATTGTATTTATTATTAAATGTGATGGTACTTGTTACCTCTGGTTATATTCATTCAGTTAATTAAGTTTACTTCACTTGACACAACTAGTGTTAGTCAGTGACTTACTGATCAGTGTTTGCTATATAGCTTTGTGAAGTGGTGGAATGTGTTGACCACTTCACTTACCTGGAGAGTTGTTGATGAAATCTTAGCTCGGATACAGAGGGCCCGTTTGGCACTTTTCAACTTACGTCACTTGGGGTGCCGACTGGAGAGATATCCGGCTATCTGTCAAAGGAATAATATACTGCGCTGCAGTTGGTTCTGTTTTGTTGTACATCTGTGAGACATGACCGTTAAAAGTAGACGACATCAAGTGGTTGCAAGGTTTTGATCACACATGTCTTATTAGCATTGCTCGCGTTTGGTGTAATCACCATATGAGCAATGTTGAGGTTAGGTTAAGGGTAGTAGACGAGATAAGCAAGTCGATTGACAAGGTTGTGAACCTTGGTCGATTGAGCTGACTGCGACATATACTGCATATGCCGAGTCACCACCTGCCTCGAAAAGCAATGCTATGGGAATTTGGACTAGATTAGAAGAGAGTTCAGGGTAACTAGATCAAGACGTGATACCAGTTCGTGATATCTCTTACTGTTGTTCTGAGTCGTGGGGGGAGATGTAGACTGGGTGGTTGGGATCGTCGCAACAAGACGAATCATTAGTTGAGGGCTGTTGGTGATGTGCCTGGAAATCGGTCGCCATGGCTTTAATATTTACTGTTATCGTTATCTTCAGATTATTTATTCTTTCACACTACTTTTTCTAGTTCGATATCACTCAATTTCTATCTATTTGTTCTTTTTATGTTATTGTGAAGTCTAGCAACTTGAGCCGATGCAACTATGTGCAAGGTTCTACGTTGATTTAGTTAGTCAGTGGTAGTCATATGGCTTTGTGTTAATACCCAATTGTTAACAGTAATTGGATGTTGATTGCAAGTAGTAGAATCTAGGATGCGGATTCGCCGTACCTATCTATGATTTCAACGCGATATACTTACCTCAGTTGTTTCCAGTTTAAGGCGAAATATCAGCATGTTACGCTTACTTTACCTTTTGAGTGTTTAGGTGTTCACTAAGTAATCTTATTCCAGCTTCTTCAGATCAGTATTAAATTATATAAACGTGGTCAAAATCATGTAATTCATCTCTTTGTTCAGCTTTATTTAGTCCCTGTATGACAACAGAGAGACCGGCGGTTGGCGACTAGACGATATGGCTCAGAATAGATATCACTGGCGCAAGTGTGTCCTCTCACACTATCTTTATCTTAATCATCAAACTGAATTTCACTCTCCCTTGCCCTCTTCTGACGACTTTCTGTCACTTCGACTGCTTTCTTCTTTGTTTATTGGTCTTTCACCGTAGCACTATCTTGCTTAGTGTGCTACCATGAGGTGTGGCAGCGCAGGCCGTTATTCAATAAAGCTAGGTCCTATGTTGATTTTGTTCATCTTTCTCTCCAACCTTATTTTAATTGTACCAATTTTTAATCATGATTATCAGTTGTTCATTGTGAATCAATGTATGATATATATATATATATATATATATATATATATATATATATATGTCTGTGTTATTTTTCATGCATAAACAAACTAGGTCGTAGGTGTTATAGTAGTTACGCTATGAAGAATATGTACTTGTAAAAATCTTGTCTAGGTTTAATTGTAAATGAACTAATGTATGTTGGATAAAGACAAATAAAAATAATAGTGGTAATAATGAAATCGATTCAGTTAATGTCTGTTAGTTGTTAACGCTGATGAAATTAATGTAAGACTACAAAATGAAACAATTTATACATCAAAGTTGCTAAGGCGCTAACTAAATACACTCAGTGTCATCTTTTAGAACTGTTCCACTTTCTTGATGTATTTGGGAACTCAGGAGTCAGTATTTCTTCAAATGACACCGAACTCCCATAAAAGTCAGTTTTGTATCCTGTTACTATCGATTGTAAAAGTACTACTGAGTTTTAACTCCACTCCGCCTGCTTCGACACTTACACAATATACATGGCTCATAACCGAGTACCACCTGTGCTGAGTTGAGTTGCATCAATTAATTGTCATTTGTTTGTTTTCTTTAACGTACACCTTTCTGTACACATACTGCATTACAATCAGAGAGCTTTATTTCATGGACACAGTTCTGTTGATCTTCTGTCGTTATTAAGTTCTTAATCTTCATCAAAGCAGAACGAAGATTGTTCATAGTACGAAAACAAACCTTTGCGTCATGTTGGTTAAGTATTCGAGTTTTTTCGAAGTTGCCTTACTTTTTGTAATCACTAAAGGGTTAACCCACTCTTTCTTATGATATTTTAGGCCTTTTAAAATTTTTTTCCATGACTCTTTGATTCCAGTGTGGCGTTGACTGACTTTAACTCTTCGTTGCTTTTTCGTTTTTTCGTCAGTGATGACAAAGAGATTAAAGGGTCTTCAAGGCGAAGCAAGACCTTTGGCTTACACCACATAAATACGTATAGGCTTCTTGCCTGAGTTCTGCTAAATAATTGATATGGTTGGTTGGAGAGTAGGTACTTTAACTCAGATCGATTGTAGTGATGCAAATCTATCCACCTTTTGTCCTCACTTAAATCGTTATTCTGTGTAAAGTTCATTTTTGTGTACATCCTTCTGTGACTTTTGACATCGTTTAAATTGCCTTCCACCTAGAAGTGGTGATACGAATTGTCAAATTTGACCGATCGGGATTATACGGGATCTTATGTTGTTTATATCTGTTTGTGTTTGTTATTCGATCACGTGTTCATGGTCTATTTCACTTTCTTCACATGAGGGAGCTGGACAGTATCTGTTGGCTTCATACCATAACGATGACCAAAAACCTAATCATATGAGTCTTTCAGTGAGAAACTGGCTCGACAGATATCGGAACAGAACAATATCACTTAGCCAAAGAAGCTGCTCCCACCTCCAGTATGCTGTGAAAACAATGTCGAAAACCGTAGCCTACTCTCAGAGAGTGATTAGAAAGAGCCAGTGAATTTCAGCATCTGAAATAATGGACCCATGCGAACACATCCCAACAGGCTCCGAGCACAACGGCCAGCAGAAGCAACTCGGTTATACATTAACAAATAGTCTAAACGATGACTATGAACAGTAGTGGGTGGTGAAGGCTAAATGGATGGAAAAGGCAGTGACGATATGTAACAGTGGTTAATCAATTAAACTTATCGAAGAAACTAGAGCGAAAAAGTCGATGGTTAATGAGAAGGATGGGTCTCTAATTCATTTGCGGGGAAGACGGCAGGAACGATGGGCAGAACACTTCGAGAAATAGTTCAACTGTTCTGCAGCTACTATTTCGTTGTCCACTATTCGGTTGCATTCTGAATGGAACATCAAGATAGAACCCCAACACTTCCAGATGTCGAGAAAGTTTTAAGCAATCAGAAATAAAGTGCAGAAGGACTAGTACCAGAGGTATTCAGCGTCGGTGGCAGTGGATTATTGGTCAAATTAACTGGATTGTTAGTGGGTGGGAGTCAGATATGACCCCCTCTGACTGTCTCAACCACTGATCGTCCCACTCTTCATGAAAGGGGAAAAATCCTCATTGTGATAACCACAGAGGAATCAGTCTGACGAACATAGTGTCTAAGATTCTACGTTGGATAACCGTCTAAGTGAAGCTCTGGAGCAGCAAACGCGAGAAAACCAGCCATGCTTCAGATCTGGTCGTGGGTGTATCGACCAGATTTTCACACTTTGCCAGGTTATGAACATAGGCACGCTTACCGACGCCCGACATTGGCTGTATTTCTCGACCTGATGGTGGCGTTTAACCACGTCGGTTGAGATGTCTTATGGCAGTGTTTGTCTCTAAAAGGGTTACCAAATACGTACATCACTCTGTTAAATGCTCTTTTCTCGAACATCCATCGGTATGTTAGCACCCATGGTGAGTCGTCAGGTGAAGTGTGTACATCTAGTGGAGTTCGTCAAAGGTGCCCACTGTCTCTATTCTCGTTCAATTTTGTCATAGACATTCTCATTTAGGTTTCCCTGTCGTCATCTGGCATCACAAGGATTAATCTAATCACAGAAAAATCCTTGGTATATCTGGAATACGTAGATGACAAAGCTCTGTTAGGTAAAGATACTGACAAGGTTCGGAGTCACCTAGATACATGAGTGGCAATTTGAGAATGCTTGGGATGCGTTTCTTGCAACTCAGATGCGAACTGCCGCTACTGGATTAGTCTTCAGCGGTTCCCTGACTAATAATAAAGAATGAAGTGGTTGAGTCCATTGACCACTTCATCTCTGTTGGGTCAGTTTGCGACGAAATCTCTGCATGGATACAAAAGGCCCAACTTAGATCATACGTGGCGCCACCGCAATATTCGATTGTCTATTAAGGGTCGCGTGTACTGTGCTGCAGTTCGCCCTGTTCTACTGTATGGCTGTGAAACATGGCCATTAAACATAGAGGACCTAGGTAGACATAAGAAAGAGATGTTTGATCGCGGCTGATTTCGTAGCACAAGCCGTGTGTCGTGGTGTCACCACGTGAGTGACGCAGAAATGAGGTGTAGAGTTTCATGGAGGAGAGAAAAGTCAAGTGATGCGGTTATGGACTTTCATCGACTCAGATGGTTGGACATGTGTTACGCATACCTAGTCAGCGTCTGCCTCATCGCGCAGTGTTAGCTGTAGTGGGTTCCTTATTTAATCTTCATCTTAACTACTATACTGAATTCACCATTTTCTTATTCTCCCTTCTTTTTTTTTACTGCTTTTGACCAATTTTTCTGTCGTCATCTTTCATCTTATTGCTTTGTTACTTGTTGAGCTGATATGAAGTGTGGCAAGTTGGACCGTTGTGTAGTAAGACCTGGGGTCCAATGTTGATATTGATTGACCGTTTCGGTGACAGAGTGAAATCATATATTATTTAATTATATTCAAGACACTCCTGATCTTTGTGCATGTATTCAGGTTATTTTTTCATCCTCCACTTAGGATACAATTGTGAATAAAAGTCTAGCTGTATTGTAGTGATCAGTAATTTTGATATATATTCCCTTAATATTTGTTATCATTTGTATTGCCTGATATACGCTGGTATGTGGAATCATAATCATAATCGACGATAGAACTCATTATCTTTCTACATATCTGTAATGTGCCAATATATTCTGTCATAAATTGTAAACTTTAATTTAGTTTTATTCGCGTTTACTAAACATCCCATCTATCAAAAAGACAGACTAGTTTACCTTTTTACTTCTTTGTTCTTGTTTTACTTGCCACTTTATTCAAAATTTTCACTTGTGGTTAAATGACAAGTTTACCACTGCTGAATTTCGTTGTGTTTACTCCATGTTGTAAGCAAGAGGAAAGGATTAAAACATGACAATCAAAAACAAAGAAAAAATGGGTGTTAACCGTAACTATGTGTGGAAGTGTTTCTTGTTTTTCGAATATACTTTCAGAAACTTTGTGTGTGGGGGGGAGGGTGTTAGTGGATGTCCGTTTAAACATTTCGCTTGTAGTTTTGTCGTCTGGAAACTTAATCTATGAGTCCAGTTGCTGAAATATTGAACCACCAAACATCATAATGGAAAGTGGGATTAGGTACAAAGAAAACTGAAACCGGCCGAATCGAGATATGGCACCAGTCCAGAAGCTGAAGGTTCGTTTACTCGGCTGTTCAAGATTATAAGAATCAATGGTTGATGCCTGTTGATGTGGTTTGAAAGTAGTCACGATGACTCAGATGTATACCTTATTTGTTATCTTCAAATTTCTAAGCATTTTACTAGGCTTCATTTCTCGCTCGCCTCTCTTGTAGGACAGTTTTGTCTGCTTTAATGTCATTATTTTCAATCCTCTTCTGTTTAGCTTGCCGCTGTAGAGTGAAGTAAACTTAGGTTTTCTACTTCTGTAGAAAGTTCTATATTGTCATGTCTTTCTGAGTCCGAATCCATCGCTATTACACAACCACGTATTGTCGTTTGCCCTCATATTTGATCTGTAACTTATGGTCTAGTGAAACAACCCACGTAGTGTTCCACTGGCACAGTCACTGTTTTGCTTACAAAAATAATATCTGTCAAACTACTAGAAATATTGTTGCAGTACTCTGAAAACAGAGTCCTTTGAGGAATTCAGTGTTTGACTTTACTGAAAGCTTCTTCTATGTGTGTGTAAAGGTATTTGAAGTAAAATGTTCATAGTTAACATCATTGACGTATTTGGAATTTAGCAATCAACGTTTTGTCTGTTGTTATTTAGTTTCTGGGCATTTGTTTTTGAACATATCTTTAAGCCTTCTAACTGATGATTTTGATTTCTTTATAGGATGATCCATTTGTCGATTATTCTCAAGTCGAACCATCGGCCGATCATGAACCCGCACCAAGAGGTAAGCTAAACCTAAATTTTAATTGTCACGATTTTTAGAAGTTTCGTTTATCAGCATTAGTAGCACTGTGTACCATAAACAGTGCGAAAACTTTCAAAAACAACATGAAGGAGATGTCCTTCACCTCTACGGTGTGGGTGGGAATGCTTCCCAAAACATACAACTCGTAACATTGCAAATAAAACTCAAGCGTGACACACGACTGACAAAATCAACGTAGAAATTCGCACACAGGTGCATGGGGCTCCAGTTGCCACATTTCACAGTAGTACACAAAGAAAAAGTAAAGTAGACAAAGTAGTGTAGGAGAATAAACAATCTGAAGATACCGGTTAGTGAAAATATTCAAGCTTTAGAAGATGTCAACGAGGGAATACATCTGCACTATTCTGACCACTTTCCAGACATGTCACCAAGAGTCCTCATCTCGGGGACTCTAACCAGACAGTCCGCATCTCCACACATGTGATACAGACCAAGAGTCAGGGACTTCATCTTCTGGTACCACGTCTTGGTCTGATCACCCTGAACCCTCTTCCAATCTTTTCCAACTTCCTCAAGTGTGACACGATGTGTCCACACTACCTTAGCCCATGGAGGTTCACAAGCTCATCAATCGACTTGCCTGTGTTGCCTATTACTCTTCACCTGACCTCAACATTGTTCACTCGATGATTCCACCATACACGAGAAGTGCTACGAAGACATATGTGACCAAAACTGTGTAATTGCTTCATGTCGTCTAATTTCGACGGCCATGTTTCACAGACGTACAACAGGACAGAACGAACTGTAGCTCAGTCTACTCGTCCATTGACATTTAATCGAATATCACGCCAGTTGGCGCCATGGATGACGCAAGTTATCTGTCACTAACAAAGTTTACCAATTCATGTATAACGTCCCACATTCAATACTATTGTCTATCCTACATGGAAAGTGAATAAATTTGTGCTTCACCAACTAGTTTCATAGTAGTGATCTATGCACTGGATTAGTCTGTTAGCTCAATGATTAGCCACCAGATATTGGAAAGGCGTGACAATTAATGCTGTCTCGTTGTATTGAATCTAATCAATGGAATGAAGTTCGGACGTTTGAGTTATTACAACCTGTGACAATTTCAGCAATAAATAAGAGTCTAAACTTCAGTCCACTGACTCACTGACCAGACCTATTTGTAGCTCGTTTGATTTACTTTTCCCTTTTTGGTTTTATGTGATTATGCTAACTTGATATCCTGAATTGATATTGTTTCACCTCAGGTTTTGCATGATTTTACTTAGTTGATGTAATAGAAATTGTGTATGTACTCAACGTAGGAGAATAACGTTATCAGATTTGAATGATGTAAACATTTATAGATGAAGCTTGCCTACTTGACTGTGTTAGGTTTAATCTCTTCACTCTACTGAATTATCCTAGTGATGAATTTAGGTGAATTAACTAAAATGATTCATTGTAGACCAGTAGAACAACGTAAAACGAATGCAGATTAGTCTATGTACAATTGGGTGTATTATTCTAGTTTATATCGATCACCTAAAGTGCAAGCATAACTGAACATGGATGAAAACAAATTTATAATGCAATGTTTTGTTTAGTATGACATGACTTTCAGTACCTATTGGTCAAAAAAGCCATCAAGGCAATGATAAGAATCAATAAAGCCTGAAATCTCTTCAATAATAAAATAATTCAATTATTCTGTTCAGCCTAAACAAAGTGCACATTAGTTCTCACTCCGAGTTACTAAGTGTTTTGTTGATGAGCAAGCACTTCTTAACTATCATGTGTGTGTATGTGTGTGTGTGTGTGTGTGTGTAAAGAGTTGAAGCATCATCTTTGAAAATCTGTTATCTATTAGTGTTCAGGTTATGCTTATCCATCATAACAGCACCTCACTCAACAACTTGGTACACGTTTGTGCAGTGGGTTGTTAGTTACACCTATTGTATGTAAGGGCTAGTGATACTACCTGGGTGTTCATGTGGAGCGAGGTTTGATCTTGTAACCCAGTGGTTGAAAGTCAAGTGCTTAAACCAATAGGCCACTGCCACAACCCATCAAAATTAATCTACTATGAGACAAATGGTATACGTGTTTTGTTGTATATTGAGCTTAAAGTTTTTAATGAATGTGGAAGATTTTATCGGCAAGACAATTAACGAAAATCTCACGGTATGAGACAACTCTATTATTTTATTCCTCTATCAGCAGGAAGCACTGCCGATTACCTCCAACCAACTGACATCTTTAGCTTCAACTATCCTTTTAGGGTAATGCATCGAAAGGTTAATGTGCTATCAATAGATATGAAGTCATAATGCTTCAGTCACTTATAGTGAACCGTAGACAAATGCCCAGAAGTAGTTATAGAATAAAACAAGATGTGTTCAGATATTTCCTAGTTTTGTCCAACGCCTGTCTCGAGCTTGAGAATAGCAAACTGGAGAAAACCAGGTAAGTTTCAAACCTGGGCTAGTGTACATTGACCATATTTTTATCCTACGACAGGTTCTGGAACTCAGGCATACCTACCTGCCATCGACCAACGCTTGCCATATTTCTTGACCTGAAGATGGCACTTGACACCGTCGACCATGCGTTTGTTATATGGCAGTGTCCGATTATGAAGTGAATACCAAGCGGCCATGTAAAGTTATTTAAAGCTCTCTACTTGAGCTCACGCAGCCATGTGAGGGTTTTTGGAGGGTTGTCATCAGAAATGACGACAAAAAGTGGTGTTCACCATGAATGTCTACTGTCATCGTTCGTGTTTAACTTCGTTATAGACGTGCTAATGGACATAACCCTATATACGTCTGACTTCCCAGGGATTGACGCACTTCCTGGAGATCATCTGGTTAACTTGAAGTATGCAGACGATATTGCCCTGCTAGGTGAAGATGCTGACAAAATGTAGGGTTTCCTAAAAGCGTTGAGCGGTCAAATGTAAAGTGGTGCTCTAGGACTGGTCTGCGATCGCTCTCAGTTTAAATGATAGGCAGTAAAGTGATGGGATATGTCTACCACCTCACTTCGGGAGTTGCATCAGCCTGAATGGACTGCTTGCTGACGGAATATCAGCTGGGATACAGAAGGCCCGTTTGACATTTGCCAACTGGCGTGATATTCGACTACCTATCAAATGACAAGTATACTGCACTGCAGTCCGTTCTTTCTTGTTATACGCCTGTGAGACATAGCTGTTAAAAGTAGACGGCATGAAGCGGCTTCAGACTTTTGATCACATATCTTCGCAGTATTGCTCGCGTTCAGCAGAATCATCGTATGAGCAATGTTGAGGTGAGGCGACACAGGCGAGTCGATTGACAAAGTCTTGGATATGTGTTGCGCACGCCATTACCGCCCACCTCGGAGTACCATGGTAAGGGAAGTTGAATTAGGTTGGAAAACGGTTTAGAATGGCCAGAACAAAACGTGACACTAGTAGATGAAGAGTCTCTAACTCTTGGTCTGTGTCACATATGGAGAGATGCAAACCGCCTGGTTGATAGTCCTCGAGACAATAGGAATTACTGGTTGAGGACTCTTGGTGACACGGCTGCAAATCGGTCACATTGATGGAAATGTGTTCACTTGTTGATATTGTCTCACTACGCTTTATTTACTTTGATGTCAATCTTTTTCTATCTACCTGTTCTTTGAATACTACTGTGATGAGGTGTGGCAACTTGAGCCGATTCACTTGTATACAAGGTTCTACATTGATTTTGTCTCTTTCTGTCTGTACTAGTTTTATGTATCGCTTTTGTAGACAACTCAGTCTTTAAGTTTAGAAAGTTATTTTGTGATTGGTATTAGTGGTGATTATTGTCATCTCATTGATCGAATCCAAGTGTTCTTATACTCATTGGAGAGGATACTGATAGTTAGTATTGGCAAATTTTGTGTTTCATTGAATTACTAATTCGTTCAATGTTAAAATAAACTTAAATCAATGTATATTTGTAATATTTTTCATTTCAGCTCGAGTTGAAGACAGTCCACCATCAAAAACTGGTCGTATATTCACATTCTTTTTATGGTTATTCATTATCAGCTTCATTGTAGGCGGTGGATACTTTGGTTATAAATATTATAAAAGACGTCAAAGGCAGTCAAAACGATTCTATTAATGCAAACAATTGATGTGACAATACTCTTCTTTTCTTTGCAGGTAGACAATAAACTATTTTCTTAATAACAACATATTGTAGTATTATACTGGTGTAATCTACTATAGAGCAAAAAAAGAAAATTGTTGAAGTAAAGCAAACCTATGCATATATGTTGATGGGCTTTTGTATTCTCCTCTGTAAACAAACTATATGCATACAGGCTGTTACGAATTCGACAATTATTAGTTATTTTCATTTCAGTATTACTTGCTCTTTTTTTTTATACACCTAATTACAGGCTAAACAGAGAAACTTTTCTATGCTGTACAACGAGTTGCAATATTTTCTTTTGTCTTTTTGTTAGTCTACCTGAACTCAACTAAGTTTTGTCGTGTTTTTCCTTCTTTGTATTCATGCAACAGATAGTCTATCTGGTCTATTTTTTTGATTTTTAAAAAAAAAACACTACTGTCTTCAGGTTGTTTTCTTCTTTTTTTTTTCTGTGTGTGTGTGTGTGTGTACTCATTTCTTTTACATGTCGTCAACGATTTTCATTTTCTTCCTCCTGCTTCTCATCTCCACTATGATAAACTTCAGTCTTTTTTTTTGTTGGCAGTTTTCTCTAGTAGAGAAGATTTCGCATGGTTTGTGCATAACAGCAATCCTATTCTGATGAGTGTTGAGTGTACATGAATCGAATTTGATTGTATTAGTCAAATCCAAAGCAATGGATTATTATTTAATTTTTTAGTCGTGTTCAACTTTTATCTTTCGTAGAATTTTGAAGGTTCAACTGCTTTACGATTGTCGTGGATAAAAATCAGTGGTGAAATTATATTCCTTGAGTTAAAGGAGTTCTTTAGGCATCAAATTGAAGTGGTAATTTAAATTGTGTTAATTGTCTCATACAATAGTAGGCTTTTTTCGCTGATATCCTGACGGATAGTTGCTACTTTGACAAGGTGATTAGGCTTGACCATGACCCAACGAGTTGCACTGCTGGAACACTTTCTCCCTCCAGGTCCTACTATGTCAGAAGGGTTGTTGGATAGTGGTAAGGTGAAAGGCAGTTACCATTGTAGTGTAAATTCCTACATTATGATCAGATTTTGAGGGTGAAGTCATACTGCTGATTGGATTGGGTGTGACAGCAGTAAGGTTTCCTTTGAATGACCAGCAGTATGCTGATGCGTCTTCCGGTGAGAATTGAGGTTAAAGAAGGTTGGCCCCGAAATTCCCACACTTCTCCTTGGCGCATGGTCTACTGGTGCCGGTAATCTGGGTTTTCTCTATCTGTCAACCAAATCTCACATCAACAGTACACAAAAGGCTGTGTTTTAGGCCTCAAGAAATCTTTTTCTCGTACTAACAATCGGTGGATACAACGTTCACTATGTGAGCGGTCTGAAATTGTCAACCGGTCGCACGCTACCAGTAGTATATAAGGTCTGCTCAAACATAACCTATGCTTTTACCTCTGTTCGGTCCTTTACTTTTGACTCCTGATACCAGTACTAATCCTCTTACAACTTCCTCTAACTCTGTATCCATTACTCGACTTCGAAACCCCATTCCTACTCTCTTAACACTGGTTGTCGATTTCATAGTAAAGCTTTCAGCATCCGAACCATCTGCCAAATCGGACGCCAAATGTCGTTCACTAGAACTCTGGAATCTTGTACCGTGGATATATGTTGTGTCTCAGACACGTATACAGGATCCGCGTGTCGCTATTAAATTGACCTCACCTAGTCATTGTAGTGAATCTTCAAAATTCACCTTAAGAGTATGTGGAGACCCAATGTTTGCCGGGATTATACAAGTGAAAGTACACCTATACGGTGAATCATAGTAACTTAGTGCCCAGGTTTTTTCAAACCATCCTGTCCATTGATCATCAGGAAACCTTCAAAAACTTTAATCTCTTTCTATGATTTTGAGCTTATTGACTTAACAACATTAATCGTTATATTCTTCCGCATATATACGACATTGCTTGAAAGTCAACTTGAGAACTAGTAGTTCTTCTATGGTACTAACAGGAACTCATAAAAGTAGTTGGATGGAAGAAGACCAAGAAATATAACTGCACTTCTGTACTCACATGTACTTGAGAAACCTAGCCAAATGAATGGATTAGTCACTCAGGTTGCCTTAGAAATCTGATAAAGAGTACATAACCACATTATTTATAAGAGTACAATGATACATCCAACTGCACTATGCATTCGAACACTTGATGAAAACTTCATTGGGTACGAAGATGTAACTTTTTACTACATTCATGCAATATTTATCCACTGGACAGTCAATGGGATCTTTATAAGCTAATAAGAAAGGGACATCACGTAGACCTATACAGGGTGTTTATATAATCCATGTGCAAGTGAACAATCCCTGTAAACTAAGCACGAAATATGCAAGCATTAGGAATGCCAAGTAGCTCATGATGTTGCTATATCGGAGGTGTTTTCCAAGACAACCTTGTTTCGAGTGTACAGTTGCCAGGAGATATGGTTTGTATTTCACCTGGTATGCCCTTCTGTACTTACAAAGTCACCGAATGACTTTAATGTCACCTGTGATCTTTTTGTCTCGTATTCAACATCAAACAGAATAAGAACACACACACGCCAACCATACAGCGAGATATACAATTTCCTACTGAATAATTAGTAATGATATTAGAGGAAGACAATGACTGTACAAAGAGGATTGAATACGGAGATTAAATTCACATAACTGGATTCATTTGTATATCTTTGATAGTTTGATTTGTGATTATGATTCCCCTAAAGAAGCTCGGAGCGAACTTGAGTGCGAAAGTTCAAATTACATCATTTCAAACACACTGTCACTTACACAAATACAAATTATACCTGATGTCAATGTTTTAGTCAGCACCCAATATTTGAGATACTATTCTTTGGAATCTTTATCATAGTTCATACAAACTTCCAAGAGCATCATCATTGTCATCTTCAGTGCGATTTGAAAGCTTCTAACAGTTTGCCGATTCTACATTTGTTTGGTACATATAGATACCAGAGAAGCAGGTTCAGTTATAAAAAAGCTTATTTGATTATAGGAACGGTATTCGAATATCCGTTTTCATACAGTGATTTCAAAGTCTTTCATGTGGGGTTGGCAATGGTTGAAGGCCAAGAATTCTGCTTCATTAGAAGCACAAATAATAATAATGTTAAAAAGTGAACATTTTTATTTAAAAATGTTAAATGACTCATATACATATACAGTTCTTCCCTTTTACGAACTCGAACACAGCAAGAATGACAATAGTAGAAGGATTAGCATTCATGTATTTCATGGCTTCTCATCAGCTAGTTTACAACCTGTAGAACATAATGTTTCTGATAAAACAATCATGTTACACAACTTACTTTCATAAATCGTCAATAATGCTTCGATTCAGATGGAAGGTGACAAAGATTTATGTCTGTCGAGATTGATGAATTCGCTAGACTATTCATAGTTTAACTATTTGTAAAGCAAAGAATGAATATTCTGGAGAATGAATAATACTCCAGAAATAGTAAAAGTGATATCATGCTTCAGTAAGTGTAATGAAAGATCAACGAAGCTCTATTAAATTGAGTGGTAGAATGAATACAGCTAAGAAAGTGAGAGTACGCTTCGAAATAGATTGAAAGATAAAGCAAAACATGAAAGAGAAGGTCATGAAAGGTTGTATTCACAAATCTGGGGTATAACAATTACCAAACAAAGTAACACAAGATTGATGACACAGATCATGTTTAGGTCTTTTATTTGAACATACTTCAGTCGTTTACTGTTCCCTTTGAAGGCCTATAATACGTTGAATTTATGTCCGGTATCTGGTAAACGCCAAGCGATTGGAATATCCAAACTCTGTGGACACTTCTGACTCAAATTCTCCGGGATATGTTCAGAAATGTGGATAACAACACTTCGATCCCTTCTTTGAACACATGCACTTTTGCACGTACATGTAAAATGATGGATACATTTGATAGTAACGAGAATTGGGAACTTGTCTACTTTGCATTGAAAACCTAGTCAGATACACACAGACTATCTTGGTGACTGGATATGTCCTTTTCGAGTGCAACACTCAGTCTACCGTTGATCCCTGTGGCGATTTCATCCCCTCTGAAGGTAAGATGTAGAGAAACAGGGTTGTTGTCCGATCCACTGCACTTGGTTCTCTTCGCTTCTGTCCTACGCTACTTACAAATCAACTCTTCTGGGTAACCCTTTTCGCACAGACGCCATTCGATAAAGATCACTTCTTGGTCAATTTTCTCTTCAGAACATAGTTTACGCGTACGGCTGGAAACTGTTTTTAGCAAACATATTTTGTAACTGATTGGGAAAAAGCTGTTGAAGTTTAAATAAAGACCACTGCATGTACTTTACAATGGATGCATTCATGAATCGTTCCATCTGTATGACTCACACTCATATATAGTTCAAAATAACTTGAATTCACAAATTTACTTCATCAAGGAAATGGAATTCACTTGAAACTGATGTTTAAATGGACATGTTTGAGAATTACCACCACGAAACTATTTGAATGTGTTTACAAAGTGCTCATTATTCAATTAAGTGTTCAGTGCATGGACTACATTGTATATTCACTGCAATCTATGTTTTCAAACTTATTTATCATCTAATTTGTAAGCTTGTGAAATACTAAATTGAAAGACAGGAATTCACAAATCAACGTTCCGAGTGAATTATTCATATCAATCACTCTACCAGAGATGCTGTATAGAGGAATTTGTAAGTCTAAGCAATCTAAAGTTTGTTTTTTGAGAAATATTTTACTCAACAACTTGCAAAGCATATCTTCAGTCTACTTTGCAGTACAACTTCACTATAGGATATGACTATTAAGTTTTAAACAGTAGTCAAAGACATTTCACATAATCCTATCTTTCCTCACCAACGTTACGATGACTGTATCCTGTTTTTTAGACTCGACTGGCACCACTTCATGCTCTACTACAACTTACCTATCTCACTAGTTTTCAATCAGTTCTGTGCTGCATCAAGTGGAGTCAGTCTGCCTTTCAGAAAGACAGAATCTTCAAACATTTCTAAGTGTTTCAGTTGAAATCTTACGCACCCATCGGGTGTTGATTGCCACAAAGAGATAAATAATTGGTTGGGGGGATTCGAACGTTGAGTACTTTATGAACACTGAGGCACTGCACCAGTGAAAACCACCTACTTGATGAGTAGAATGAACCGACACTTCGACAATCAGTAGTGAAGTGCACGTTGTGCAAAGATTCTCAGTTCATGTTTACTGTAAGAACACAATTAAGACAATAAAAGCTTTTGATACTGGGTGATGACTGAAGATGAAATGAAAATCTGGGCTGCAGTAAGATTCAGCCCAGTGGTCTCCAAGTTGCCTGGCACTCTACCAGCTGAACTATGAGATCCAGATGCTGATCAGATCCTAATTTCACTTCGGTGAGGACCTTCGAGATAAGGCACAGAATTGAGTTGTAGAGCAGAAAGTGTTCTTCTTGACTGTGTCTATGTGTTGTTCGACTGAATGGATCTGTGAGGACCAGGATGGATCGTCAGAGCAACCGATAACTACTCGTAATTTACACCAACACACTCACCGACTGCAGTCCGCATGATGTAAACGATGAATTCTATTGGAAGTTGCCAATTTTGCTATAGAAAGTAGAACGTTTCGATGTAGTCATAATGGCAGGTGAGTTAGACGCTTGAGTAGGTAAGCTGCGCCAATCGGAAGGGTATTTTGAGGATATCTACTGAATCCGATTCAATGAACCGACAAGGGTGATCACCTGTTACAATTTTGTTCTGGCAATCACTGGT